CGCCATGTCGACGAGACAACAGGCGTTTCAGCTTTGGCTTTGGCTCTTTGGCTTCTTTGGCTCTTTTGGCTCTGGGCATTGGGGAGTGGGCGAAAAAGGTTTTCTCGCTCGAACTTTGTTACAACATTTTTCGAGTTATTTTTGCGGCGAACTCCGCTCATTCACAGGGAACTGCGCTTGCCACTTGCATTACGTATACGTCATGGCGCACTCGCTCTCCCTCTCTCTATCTCTCAGCCTGTCTCTCGTTCTCTTGCTCTTTTTCTCGCACAGTCGACAAAAATAGCAAATAGCATTTTCTTTTTAGCTGCTACACACACACACACACACACACACACACACACACACTCATACACACATAGCTACACTAGAAGCTAACCCAACCTACATCATTTCACCCCCTCAGTAGGATGCGCTGCTCAGCTGCGACTTGGCAACAGCCAAATCCTTTTTATGCTTTTGATTTTTTGACACTCGACGTGTTGTTGTTCTGGCGCTTGTTGTTTGTTTGTCATGGTTGTTGTTGCCGTTGTTGCTGCTGATGTAGTTGTTATTGTTGTTGTTGTTTTTGTTGTTGAGTGTCTTAGTGTCAACATGCGTTGACTGTTTCAAGCTTATGTCCTGGCTTATGTGCCAGTTAGTAACAGGATGTAGCAAGTTGGTACAGTTGTGTCTTATGCGTGTAAGTTGCTCTCCACAATCTGAACGTGATTTGCATGCAAGCATCTAGCTAAAGATTTATTGAACTTGCCTCGCATATGGAATTCTGTCAAACTTCTTTACCGCCAATTTGCATAAGCTGCAGCCATACATATCGATATAGTTTGTTTTACCTCTCAACTTGCCAAAGTTGCAAAATATAATGCAATAAATAAGAAATACCTTAAGTGCTGCATTCCCTTGCAGCGGGATCTAAGCTGACAAAGAAAGTTCAGGAACTGCCATTAAAGTGTCAGCTGCACTTCAGACATAAGCTACAAGGAATTGGGAATACATTGAAGGCTTTAACTTGAAGTGCAACTAGGTTGAACTTTCTAGGCTATGGCTATGCAATGCAATTATGAATATTCTAGACCTAAGACTCGTTATTCATTAATCTTTACATTGTTTAGTTGCACGTAGCTAATTACCCCTCAAAAAGTTTTAAAATATTTGTATATTATTTTTGGTCTATTATCTAATACTTCCTTGCATTGAAAATGTGTCTTACAAATTGGTTTTTTGTTGAATTAAAAATTAGCTTCAACTGGCTTCACATTTTATATTATCTTATAAATATTTTAACGATAAATGGAAATTTAGCATCTTCAAATTAATTTCATGCTATGGTTTCTCGCAAAAGCTTAAAAATATATTAATTATAATTATAAATTTAATTTTGGTTACTAAATTTAAGTTCTTCCTTTAATTTATTGCTCCTCATTTTGTTGTTAGCTTTTATTATTTATTAATGTTTAAGACTTTAATTTCAGAATGATGTGTACTCATTTAAGAATAACTATTTAAGCGCTATTTTATTTACTTTTATCATATAATATGATTTACTATTTTTTTATCGCCTACCTACAAAATAATGGTTTTTGAAAATGAATCTTTGCTAAAAATAAATATTTTATTATTTATTTATTACCTTTATTAAATCTTCATTAATATGAATATTAAATACTCTGTTATTAAATAATTATTTCATTAACATTGTAATTTTACATTTATCTCAAATAATAAATTAATATTTAATTTGCATTTTTAAAGAAACAATTATGCACAAATTGTTATATGCACATTGTTATATAATATGCGCAAGTTGTTAACAAAGGTAGTTTTGACAACATATTATTGCCTACCTGTAGGCGCAGGGCAACCGGAGTTTGCTTCGTATACCTGAACGAAAACCTAGCTGCAAGGTAGCAGAACTGCAATTGCTGCACAAATAAAAATACTAAGAAACTTGTGCGCGCTTATTTCGATTTATCGCACAAGCCATGGGCGCCAGAGGTGTAGGATGAGGAGGAGGTGGGGGAAGGGACGGAGGAGGGGGCAGAGGCAAACAAGCGCAAAAATCAATTTAAAGTTCAATAGCCTCGCTTGGCCCATAAGAAGCGAACAAAAAAAAGGAAATTGAAAAACATGGCAAATAGAATGGGAAAGAGCGCGTCCAAAAATTTAGCCATGTTACAAGTTGCAAGTTGTGCACCCACTCAAGCGCTTGCCCGCCCTCTCTGTCTCTCTCCCTCTCTCACTCACGCTCCCTCTCTGCCTCTCTCTCATACGCTTTATTGTTGTGTGTGTGTGTGCTGTGCGCTGCATAGTTATTTGTGTGTAAAATTAAGTTCAAAGTACAAAATGTGGGTTGTCGACAACTGCAATGGCTCGAATAGCTCGCCCCGCCTCGCCCCGCTTCGCCTAGACTTCACTCAACTGCAATGTAAATGGCGCAACAGCAATGCAGTCAGCATTGTACTAACCACAAAAAATAATGCCCATAAAACTAATGGGTGACGCACATAAAAATTGTTTTGGGTCAACGTTGCGTATACGCAATGCGCTTTAATTCATGCATATGCAAATACTGTGTGGCAACTGCAATCGAGACATGCGAAATCAGCATAAATGTGTGCTGTTCCCCACGCGTGGGCTATGTGAGCGTGGCATTTGATGCAGCCAAACGTGCCCAAGTATCCATTGACGCAATTAAATGCGCTGGCGGCGGCCGCGAAGCGCATTGATAAATGGCAATCGGCGACGCCGTTGGCGGCAACATTGTCATCGTCGTCATTCTCATCGTTTGGGGCTCTTCAAAATGCAAATAGCTCTTTGGCACGCCAGGGGCTTTCGGCTCATAGCGAACGCAAATCGCCCTCCCATTCGCGCCTCTCTTCACCCGGCACAATGTGCCTAACGAGGCGTTGGGCGTCGCAACTTTTTGCACCTGCCTCTCATCAATTGATTTCATGCTGACAGCAGACAACTGAGAATATGATGCCGACTTCATTTGGCAGACATACAAAATAACATCAAGACAGCTGGGCAACTGGCAGCGGGTTGTGCCACCATCTTGGCGGGAGTTGGCTGCGGGGAGGGGGGCGGTCTGGGGGTGCAACTGCTTAACAATTGAGTGTCAAGTTGCGCGCATTGCTTATGCACTTTTTTGCAGCTGCTGTCGTTGTCGCTGCTGCTGCTGCTGCTGTTCTGCTGCTGTTGTTGTTGCTGTTTTTGTAATGCGCATTAATGTGCTGCAAGGTGATTCAGCAGATATGCAACTGCTAATGGGGAGTCGCAATATCTTGTCGACAAGTTGAGTACATCTCGGGACTTGCGGCTGACAAGTGTTGAAGGGCAGGCACTTAGTTTGCATTGTTGTGCTTATGGCTGTATTTGTCTGTATGTGCCAGACACTTGTGCAGGGCCACATTAATGAACAGGCCACAGGGCCTGTTGTAAACTACAGCTGTCATGACTGGTGTGTAAAAGTGTTGCCTACTTTTCCGGGCTTGTGAATGAAATATGCAAACGCAGCAAATATTTCAACTGCCAGCTTTCGTATCGAAATTCGTGCAAGTCCTTGTAATTTTACGCTCAAGAATGAAGTTATAGATGAAGGCAGAAGCGACTGAGATTTAATAAGCTTACCTGTAACTATAAAAGGCTTAAATAGGTAGAAATTGAATTAACACATATTATATTTGCACAATATAAGCAGATATTTGCAATTTATATACATTTCCAGAATACTTTTGTAACTCCAATTACTCGTTAAATGCTCAATGAACAACATTTACGTTAATATGATTACAAATAGTACAAATAAAACAATTTAATACACTTTTTAAATAATCTGATAAAGAAACAAACCTGAAAAAGCAGCAATAAAATTAAATGCGAATGATTGCCAGGCTCCATTTAACACTTGTTCAACTGAACAAAAAACAAAAAGCCTGTTAAATGCTTATCAAATGAATATGCTGTTAACATCATCAAAAACAGCACAAAAAAAAAAAATAGCTGAGCGGCAATGAATGAATGAATTTCATTTGGTAAAATTGTAAATGGGAAACACAACAATGTGCCAACAATCCATGTGTCTGCACACTTTGGGCAAAAAGTGCAGTATAATTTTTTCCAATCGCTGCTACAAAAATAGCGCAGCTAAATTGCAAAAACTAGCGTGGAAAAAAACTAGAGGGGTCGATGGTAGAATGTTGGTAGCATAAAGAGGAGGAGGGGGGTATAAGGAGGCGGAGGTAAACCTATATGGGCAACTTCAACAAATCTCAATACGCAAACATGTAGCCAGGAGCAACAATAGCAGCAGTGGCAACAAAAACAACATGCACACACATGTGTGTGTGCGCAACGTGTATGTGTAAGTGTGTGTGTGTGTGGCAGAATGGCTGAAACTAAACCGGAGGCGCCAACATGTCCTAAAAGTGATTTATTTTTATGTATTTGTTTGTAGAGAGCAAAAAAAAAATAACACCGTCGAGAAAATGCCACAAAAAATAAAGTTTTCTTGTTGTTGCTGTTATTGCTGCTGCGTCGATGCAAGCGTAGCTTGGCTCGCCTATCCTGGAAACGGCAATGGGTATCCTGCTAGCACAGAAAGTAGTAAAGTAGCAAGCGTGTAACTATTTATAACAGCGTGAGCCGCTAAGCGGCAACATCGACAGGGGGTATATGCGGAGAGGATACACAAACAAAATGTCGAAAACAGAAAGAGAGCGAGGCAGAGAGAGAGAGGGGTGGCAGCAGGCAAATGGCATAGCATACTTTTATGCGGGTGTCGTTGCAACTTGCAACATTTAGACGCAAATCATGGCGGACATTAGCGTGCGCAAAGTTTTGCCTCGCAAGTTGAACGATTTATGTGGAAAGTTGTTACCTGTTACAGGGGGCGGGGGCATGGGGTGGGGGTAGCTGCCGCAACATTATGAATAAAACTATTTTGACTAACTGTGCAACCTGTTTCATTTCGTGTTTATATGTTTGTTGTGCCTTTGCAGAGTGCCCCACCGCAATGGATGGCATGGAGCGCTTCGCATGCCCCACACCGGATCTGCAGGGACGCTATCGTTGCATAGATGATCATGTGCTATGCGATGGCTTCATCGATTGTCCGGAGGGCGAGGATGAGGACCGAAGATCCTGCATGTTCTACAAGACGGTAAGCACAACAGATCCCAGACGCCGCCTATCTCCAAAAATGTTCTCAAATAACGCTTTTTCTGCTTGGGTTTTCTTTTTCTCTCAATTCCAGACGAAAGCTCATTTGGATGTGTTAGCGGATGCGTTACTACGCTGGGCGCGAGGGCGTTAAGTCCACACAATACCCGCACACGGACACACCTTGATAAACACACATACACACACTTGATTAAAAAAAAACACACCTAGAGAACCCACGTTAAAAAAAATTACAGTTAGTTTTATGCTAAATATTTAACATTAATCGTGCAAACCTATTAAGTTTAAAAACGGACAGGCACAACACTCACACACACACACACACACACACACACACACACACACACAACACACATACTAACCACTCCGCCTGCCCACACCCTCAAAAGTAAAAAAAGTATTGAACAAAATGCAAAGTTGTGGTATGTAAAAATTCCAAGTAAAACAAGTACTAATAATGGCAACAAATATTTAAAAAAGATATGATTTGGACTATTATTACACTATTGTTAATTAACAAAAAAAAAAACAAAACAAAAAATTAAAAAAAAAAAACTACCAATCAAGAAACTATTCAAAAGATAAACAAAAGATATCTAAAATGGCGTTAAAATTTCGAAAAGTAAAAAAACCCAAGTGGAAAATTTTGTCGCAAAAAACTTGCCCCCAGATGGTTTTCTTTTATTGTTTTGCGCATTAAATCGGTCCTAAGCTATTTTTAGTATATATATTAAAAAGTATTCAAAAAATATTAAATATATATATATATATATATATATATACATATGTATATACATATAATACAATTTGTATATATCGATATATATATATAGATATATATATATGTATGTATATTTTTCAATATATATATACATATATATATTTCGTGTACATTATTTAACTATACGTGTATTAAAGTTAAAATGTTAATGCAACAAAAAACAAAATAAAATAAATAAAAGCGAAAGAAAAGAAAACATTGAAAACAAATCAAAAAATGCGTAAAAGAAGGCACACAGCGAGCTGAAGAGCTGAAGAGCTGACAGTAGGGGAAGAGCAAAAGGGTTATATATACATATACAAATGAAATTATGAAAAACGAAAAACAAAAAAAACTCAAAACAAAATATGAAAATGCAGACATTAATTATATATAGTAAATATATACATATAACAAATAAATATACAATTAAAAATTGACATAGGTTTTATTGCAATGATAATGCTGATAATATGAACACGAATGCGAGTGCGTATGCCACAGATAACTGATTAACGATTATCATTCGATTGATAATATCGATAACTAACAATGCCGTGGGTCTACGCATGTCTGAATGATATATAGGAAAACAATATATATATATATATATATACAACCAGTAAACAGCATGAAAGAAGGAGCAGGAAAACATTTACAAACTAATACAATGAAGGTATAACATTTACATAACAAAAAGACTTGACTTGATTTTACTTATTATGATTGAAAGTTGAGGTTTTTTATAATTTATTACGTATTATGCGTATTATGCATTTAATTTACAATTATTATGTTAAAGAGCTGTTCCACTTTCAAGATATTTTGTACATAAATAATATGAATTCATTTTTATTTAATTCTTTCCATTTATGTGCTTTGGCTAAACTTGTTCATCGGTATGTAGAAATCATTTTTGGCTCATTTTGTACATTTATTGCTGCATTTTCGTATATTTCGTCTAAGTAAGTCAATTTTATCTCACCTTATGATTTCTTCATATATGAAACAGTTCTCATGGAAATGGCAGCTATTTGTAGTTAAGGAAATTTATTTAAATCAAGTATATTTAACTAACAATGGACTTATAAATATTTAAAGAAACAAAACCCTTAAACTTATACAAAAAAACAAAATTTATATTATTTAGTTAAAGGCCTGTAAAAACGCTAACAACAAAAAACAAATCGACATAAAAAATCAAAATATATTCATTTCGTACTGACTTTGCCATTTTAGTCCGCTGATTTCTGTTTCCCCCCCGCTAAGATGAGCGCAAATACAACCGTTGACTTTGCTAAAAAACTATAAAATATATTAAATAAACGCGAGAGATGACAAAAGTAAAATTTTTAATATTATCCAATATTGTTATTATGCATACAGAGTTCCAACAAACAATCAATTAAGAAAACAATCAAGCAAATTTTAAAACATAAAAAAAATGAAAATGTTGAGACGGTTGTGTATGCGGCACGGTAACAAATTAATAACAATAAACAATAAAAACACAACAAATAATAATTTGTAAAAATTCGAATGCTTAAAGTAAAAGTCTATTAACGTGTTCTCGGAGCTATTCAAACGTATTCTCGTCTTTGTTTTATAAAACCTTCAATGCCAACTTTTATGTAAAGAATAAGAAAAAACCAAAAAAAAAAAACCTACATCAAAATTATATATGAAATAACATATGAAATTGCGAGCAATAAAATTTCATATCTTATACACAGTACGTATAAAATGCAAGTAATTATAATCAATTAAACAAATCTTTATCGATAAGATTTGAATTTATGATTTTCTTATGTGCTGACACGCAGCTCAAATGCGCAAAAAATGCAATTTACAAAACAAAAATAAGTAAAATATAAATATAAATAAATAAATAAATAAAATGCATCTCCCGAAAATTAGGCCCCGGTCTGAGAGCTCTGTGTCCCTGCGATAAGAACGATCTTCGTTGAAAATATGAAATACTTAAAGCCAATGTTCGTAATCTAAATAAAAACAAGTCGTTTTGGGTTTCCTTTTCTCATTTCATTTTAATTGACATTTTGATTTACTATATTCTATTAATAACTGCAAAATAACCCACCTTTAAATATTAAAGATAATATTAATAACAAATAATAAAAACGATTTCTATACCGGTGTAATAACTCTACATAAATGTTGCTTACTGCGAAAAAACAAAAACGAGGAAAATAAATAAAATGTATAAACTATAAGTAAATTAACAAATATATATATGTATGCATATTATCCTTGCAAGCATTATACACAAAACCAAAAAAAAATTAAACAACTCCTAAAACCCAAATAAAAGCGCACTAAAGAAAAAAAAAAAACAAAAACAACCGAGGACAACAAAACCGAAAACAAATCAAAGTAAACCAAATGCAAAGCGACAGATGGAAATTTTAATGACATTTTTGAATGAGAATTGAAATGAACGGAAAATATACATATACATCTATTTTTGGCCTATTTTTCTATAACCGAAACATGAAAAGAAAAAAACAACATCAACAACTTTTTAAACTGCAACAAAAAGCGAACAAATCGAAAAACTTTTATAACACGAAATAGAGCAAAAAATATCGACCGTTATTTTGGTGTGCGTTAATGTAAATACACATAAGTTAATTCCATTCGATATGTGTCTCTTATATAGTCACTTGATTCTCATATATACTTACTTCGATTTGTCTTAGTTGTTTTTGAACTTAACGAAGATCGTTTCAATATTTTGCATTTCCTTGACTTGACTTTTTTTAGGCAGCCAACAAAACGGCAGCCGAATTGTATGTACAAATTTGTATATAAACGTTATTAACAAAATATCAATGAAAATCAATTTGAATTTTTGTGTTCAGTTATTTGTTTCCATTTTTGCGGCAAGAATTTTACATTAACATTTCTTTTTATTTAATTACTACATAAAAAACATATTTAATGTAAGCATAGCGAAAGTAAAAAAATAAACCTAGCCAAAAACAAAACAAAACCAAAACAAAAAAAATAAATTGAAAAGAAAAAAAACAAATAGTTTCTTGAACATATAACATGCAAGTATGATAACAGATAATTGTTAAATGTTTAAAGTAAAACACATATACAAGTGCATAGGCAAAACACACAGACAGACACACACACATTTACACACATACACACTAGAAATATAAACACATACATACACATATATACAGTTTAAGTATATGCAACACTCATACAACACAGTGAGTCAATATGCAATGAAAATGAATGAAGAAAACATTTAAAAAATAGATAACACTACTTGTATTTATTTGTATTTGTATATTTAAAAGAAAAACCCAACAAGAAAGGAAACCGAAAATGAAAATGAAAATGAACTTTAACTATTAATGTAGCAAATGGCCTAAAATTCAATGCCATTCGCACAATTTTTTAACAACTAATTACAATTAAAACCAAAATAAAACAAAAACTAAGTTCAATTCGAATTCTAATTTTAATCTATTTGTACTTTGTAATTGAATTTGTATTTGCTGTACATAAGTTTAGCCTGCCTCTCTCTCTCTCTCTTTCCCCTCTATGTTAAATCTATGATTTAGAAAGCAACTAGTTGATGATGATTAAGATAATGATGATCACGATGATGATGATGTATAATGTGCGCATTTTTTGCGGCCATTTTTTTAGTATAATCATAATTCCATTATAATTTACTGTTTACATATTAAATATATTAATAAATTATATATATACGAATATTATATAATACCGAAAAACGAAAACAAAGCAAAACACAAAAAGCAAACAAAAAACTATACATGAAGATGAAGAAAACAAATACACAACTTAATATACACTGAAAACAAATCAAAATATGCATTTCTGATTTCCTTTCTATATACACTCTCTCTCTCTCTCTCCCCCCCACAACAGATGCGTTTTAACTAACTTTATTATAATTTTGAATAGTTTCTTTGTTGTTGTATTTTCTTCAATTATTTCTTTTACGGAATCTGCATTTCCGTTTACAGATCTCTTGTGAAAATTAGTTTTAAATTACTTTTCAACAGCATTAAACTGTTTCCATATAATACTTTTGTTCTACTTTAGAATCATGACTCACTTTTCCTTAGCTTTCTTTTCTATAACTCGCTACTGCTCTAAAAGACAAAGTCTCTCCACAACAACAACAACAACAACTTTACACAGCACATGGTTACAACTGTTGCAAACACTACGCATACAGTAAGTTCTCATTATAAACTACCTATACATATATATTTATATATATTTGAAACTATTCCATTTCTTAACAAATTTATTTTTTATTTGGTTTCTTTCCCTTTTGTTTGTTTTTGGCTGCCTGACAAGAAATATCTGTTCAAGTTAAATAGCCAAACTTTGCACTCAAGTTGCGCTTTGAAGTATCACTTTAGCTTTTTAACCTTCTCGTAGTTATGCAAACAGTTGAAGTGCAATTCAAAACTCAAAGCTTAGCTAATTCTAGAAGCAACTTTCCATGTATTCAAGGAATCCTCTGCGGCGAGCTGCGTTTTCCGAGTCAGTCTGTTTAAGCCAAAGGCAGCAACTGCCTCTGGCCAAACCAAGCAAACAAGTTCCAAGTTGTCTGTGTTCAACTGACGCTCACTTCAATGCTGACAAAACAGACAAACTTTTCAACAATGCACAGGCAAGATTTTTTCATTCAATTTTTAGATGGTAAACACAACTAAATTAATAAGCAGCCATTGGGCGTTAAATTCTATGGAATTACAAGTAGATTTATGTGTTTTGAATAAAAATATAAATAAATATCCCATATATGAAGTGGAATTTTAACAATAAATTAATCGCAAATGAGTGTTAGAAAAGCATGTAGCCGGTTTTTTGGAGCGTTGTCAAACCGAAGAATATTTTCGGATAGCTTAGGCAATTTAAGGAGGGTTTGGAAGGAT